AAAAAATAGAATTTGATTTTCTCTTTCAATTTTCAATGGACTCTCATTGGAAACTTCGCAATTTTGGTGACGATTCATGATCGTATATTTAGTTTGTGATGATGCGATGCAGTTCCTCGATGAACTAACAATTTATGATGGGTGTGAACCATCGCTTGTTATCGGCTATATCGCATTGGTTCGAGAGGTTTATTCGCATGCTTGTGCGAACTTGAAACAAATGGACATTGGTGAAGAAGAAAGGTTTTTAGAATTTCATTGTCAACTAACAAATATCAATTTTTTTGAATGAACTCGATGAATTTTATGTATCAGTTATCATCGATAAATGCCGAATTCATCAAAAGAACCATTAAAATTGCACTGTATTTCTCAATATGAATGCATATGGTCATTTCAAAAATTTCACTTATCACATTGAAGGAAGAGGCGAATGTTCTATCAATGGCAACAGATTGAACGACATTTTTCAAAGGTGAAACACATCATAAAAAAATTTTGGCCGATTGGGAATGAGAGAGATTTACTGACCATATATCTAACACTGGCTCTTCTTTACTCGCTCTACAAGGATGTTTGTGATGAGGTATTGTTTTCTGTGAACGTTCTTCTCAGTACTACAACTAAAACATTTCCAATAACAGCATTTGCTTGAGAAGTTCTTTAGGGTTCAAAAAATTTTTCAAAATGACATTCTAAAGATAACTTATTGACCGTGAAAGTTTAGTCATTTTAGTGATTCAGAAACGTTCTCAATTCACTTATTGCATCATTCATAATGCAGCATTCAAAGAAACGGTTTTTTGAAGTGGTATAATGAAAGCATTGCCGATTATAGGAAGTGATAAAAGAGTGTTATGAGGCGTCACAACGTGCTCGCAATTGCGGTAAATACAAATTGAGCAGGTATGAATTCAGTGAGGTGCAACAATATTGTGAAACCATCGAGAACATATTCTTCCTTCGTAATCAACGCATCCACAATGGACACAGTGAATTCATCGGTAACAACAAGCAGCAAGATGCTGCAACTCAGCAAGTGCAATCTGCTGATCACAATGATCCACTGTGGTCATCATCTCACTCAGCAGTTTTGTACCAACGACCGATGGACGGAAAAGCGATCCTCGCCGAATACGGTAAAATGACCTATCATGACAACACAAAGTTGAGTAAAGCAATCCAAAGAGCTAGAGCTTATGCAGCCGCTGTTAAAGTTTTAACGAATGCAAAGGGTTCGACTTTTCCGAGTGGTACGATCCGAACTGATCATCTACCCTCTCCGATCAGTCCTTCGTCAACTCCTAGTTCACTTGTGCTACCAGTTCAGCCGACACAAGTCAAAGAAAGCAAGAAGATAATGATGAGTGAAAATGAAAATGATGAGGAGTGCATAAAGCAACTAGTGAACAATATCGCTGAAACAGTGAAATATGAGGTGAAAAATGCCAAACAGCCAACTGATAATCGTGTAGCAAAAGAGAACGGAGAGGTGATTAGCGGCGCAGATAAGAAAGCATCCGCGAAATTAACCGATGAAAAGCGTGTAAGTGATGTGAAGGGGAGTGCTGAAAGTGCATTGTCAAATGAAAGTAGTGCATCGAAACGAATCAATTTATCTCCTTCTTCAGTTACGACATCGAATCGAACAGATCGAGACAATTTCAATGTGAATGCTAATGAAAATCTATTGCTTGTCACTGAAACAACAACGATCGAGACATTCGAAACGCGAGAACCAATAGAGAAAGTTGATATTCGGCTTGAAACGGCGTCCAAAGCTCGTCGGAAAGCGCTGAGGCGAAAGGTTGGTTTTTTTTTGAGCTTTTATTAACATTTCACAAAATGTTCGTACAATCGATGTTCACCGTCTGTTGAGTGCCTACCATTCGGTGTCTGAATACCAGTTGGAACATTGTATCCTTCGGCAATTATTTGGGATACCCAGAAAGCGACTAATATTTTTGAAGAACGTGTACTCGAATTGACCAAGTGAATTATGAAGGGATGCAAATATTCTCGATAACTGTTATAAGTGATAGATGAACCGGGAAGTGAACTACCTGAGCACTTATAGGTGATGGTAGAGAACTATGCCGAGATTCGATTGAGTACTGAAGAACCACCGAATGTGAAGAAAGGTCTCTACAATCTGCATTCATCAAGATTCAGAACGGAAATCGCTAATGCTCACCAAGCAATGAACATAGAACCACATAATGGAACTGCTATCTCATCCAGTCAAGGC